TGTGTGTGTGTGTGTGTGTGTGTGTGTGTGTGTGTGTGTGTGTGTGTATGTGTGTATTAAAGGTTATCAAGACCAAGAGGTATCATGGCAAATTAGCACCAAGTGGGAATATGGGAATTCTGGTCAAGACACAGTATAAGAGTGTGACAAAGCAAAAAGCCACTTGAGATTTCAGATTGTTGGATTATTAGCTCATTTTCGTCTTGCTAGAAAGATAGGTAGTCTGTATTAAACTAAATGGTTTGTGTGGCTCCTTTGTTAGGCAGGCAGAGTCTCAACTGTGAGGCAGCCAGGGCTGGCCTGGAACTTGCCCTTGATGTTTCAGCTTCAACCTCCTAAGTACTGAGATGTAGTCTGGCTTTTTCTATGTCCTTTGTAAGTAATTTTATTTTGTTTTGTTTGTTTAAAAATGCCATTATTGTATATCACAATAAAGATAAAATTGGTTCAAAATGTAAAAAGTGATGTAATGGGGAGGGATGTAGCTCCAGTGGTTTTGTTAGTCTCCAGAGTCACCATCAGACTGCTCCATCCTTAGTGGCACTGTGTGTACTTTGAGTTAAGTTCCCCCTTTTAACCCTGCCTCAAGGACCCACTACAGCCAGGCCCATTTTGTGACAGTTAGGCTGGACCTGGGCTCACTTGACCCAGTTGATGGGAAGAGTGGGAGTCTTTCCAGCCTTGGCCCAGAAGAAGCATGCTCATTCTCTGTGGGTGGAAATCCAGAGGGAGGATCTCCAAGTTGATTGGCTGGGTAGGCTGCACCTGAAAGGTTCTCAGGGACAGAACAGGAATGTGGGCAAAATCCATTGTGGAACCAAGCAACCTGTTTTCTAGCACACTCTGCACTTTAGTTGTGCATTTATTTCACTTCTTCATTGGTGAGTGGACTTGAGGCTGCAAAGTGTAAGAATATAGATCTTAAGGTTCTGTTGTTCAGCAAGTCATCACTAAGCATAGATGGTGATCAGCATGTGTGGCTTTTGGAACATGGTTACCTTTTCTCCCTCTCCTGCCTAGTGTTTTGTTTTAGAGCAGCTTTCTGGAGCCTAATCTTATCGCTAGCAGTGTAGAAGTAATTAGAGTTCTGGGTGAGGGGGAGGCTGTGAGAACAGTGAGTTGGGGTCAGCCCAACATGTGGAGCCTCCATAGTGGTAATTTTTTTTTTTTTTTTTGGGGGGGGGTGCTTTTGTTTTCCCTTTCAGGTGGAATTGTATGATTCTAAAATACTGAATTTTAAGAGGAAAAAAATCTTGACCTGGTAATGTTTCTCTTTTCCTCACCAAAGAAATGGTGTTTCTGAGAAGGCTGGAATTTCTCTGATCTCTTATCTGTTACTGTGCTGGGGGGTGATCACATTTCACATCTCCAAGTTGCTAGGAGACAGATAACCTATCTTACAGCTACTGGCATGCCAGACCTCTTTACCACCTGAGTTTTTGAATGTCTGTTTCTTAGAATTGCCAGGCTTCCTTTTCTGAAACCAAGTTGTGTACAGGAAACATGCTTGCTTTGACCAGACTCCAGAATTTTGAAGTGGGTTAGAAATGTCAAGCTAAGTTGAAATGAAAAAGGGTACCAACTGCTACAGTTAAGTCTGTATTCTCAAATAATCATCTTGCTCATTCTTCCAGTGTCTCTTGCTTGGTACTCTCTTCTCTCATACAGTGGTGATTAGTTGTGAGGAGGCTAAGATTATCTTTCTAGGGCTTCAGATAATGTTAAGACCACTGGTTGAGGAGACCCCTGCTCCCCTGAGCTCTTTAAAAAATTTGTTATTTGGTGTCCTTGGACATATGCTTTATTATAACTATTTTACCGGTCTGCTTTCATTTCCAAGGGGAAAATTACCTTAGGTTACAATGTAGTTATTTTGGGTGTGCCTTAAATTTAAGAATAGATTGTTAGAGCTTTAAAAAAAAAATGTGCTCAAGCCAGAAATTGTAACACATATCTATAATCCCAGTATTTGAGACAAGGGGATGAAGAGTTTCAGGACAGCCTGAGGTACACAGGAAAGCCCTGTCTCAAAAAGAAACAAGGCCTGGAGATGAAAATCAGTGGTAAAATGTTTGTACTAGGTTTTATAATCAGCACTGAAGGGGAGGAAGGGGGCAGAAAGTGTCCAGATGGTAGATGCTGCTAAGAGCATGGCCGAAGGACCCATGTCAAGGTAAATTTCTGTAGTAATCAGTTCTGGATAGCACAGCATTGGAGACTGATGCAGGCTATGCTTCATGTCAGAACCCAGGCTCTGTTCTGTCTCAGTTCATCATGGCTTTCTTCAAAAAGTGTACTCAGGAGTTGGTGTGTTTCACAAGCCCCTCAGTTGACTTCCTGTGTGGTAATAATGAAAACTGGATAAGACTATTGCTTACATCAGTAAATTCCCTTTAGAGTTTAACTCCAGTCTAGGCCAGCTTGTTTTAAAAAAAATAGAATCTATTGAGACATTTCTGTTTTATGACAGTGACTTGAGTGGGCCATCCACAGCAGCAATAGGCAAACACACATACACAGTCAGTGTGAGCTGTTTAAAATAACTGGAGGAGCTGGAGAATCAGCTCTGCTGTGGACCACTTGCCTGGGATTCTTAAAACCCAGAGTTTGAATCCCAGCTCTATAAAACCAAATTAGAAAACTGAAAACCTAGGCCAGCCAGAACAAGGTGGAGATTGGGAAAAGACAGTGTGCTGACAGATTAGAAGTTTATGTTTTCAAAACTGTCTCAGTTACTTAATGTTAAATTTGCACACAAACTGAATAAAATGGTAAGGCTTGGTTTGCCTGTTTTTAGTCTTTGTCCTACTGGATTGCTTTTCTAACGTCAAAGAAATTATACAAGTGATGAATGTTCAGTACCGAAAATTAAAGCCTAAATATACTTCCATTACCTAGAGATAGTACTGAATTGTAGATAACTGTCATTCTAGATCTTTCCATTATATAATTGTCTTTTTAGAAACAAAACTATACAATTTGTATTGTTTGATAAAGATCAGCCTTTTTTCATGTAATAGTTAAGTATCAAAGTTGTCAAGTTTTCTTTATATATTTTTTCCTTAATCTAATTTTTTGATAGCTGGGCTTGGTGGCACATAACTATAATCTCAATACTTGAGAAGTAGAGATAGCAAGATCAGGAGTTCAAGGCCTTCATCAGCTGTCTGACAAATTTGAGGCAAGCTTGGACTACATTTGGCCTTTTTTTTTTTTTTTTAAATAAACTTCATTTATTGTCTGCAACTCTTTACGCTCCTGCCTCGACTTCTCAAGTACTGGGACTACATGAATATACTATGCCTACTTGGAGTATTGTTCTTACGTAACCTTTTCTTTTTGTCTGATTATTTCCATAAAATATTTCTTCCTGGGAATAAGATACTGTAAAAAAAGGGGGGGGGGGTTCTCATGTTAAGTTCTAGGAAACACAGTGCCAGATAGCCTTACAAATAGGCTGTTCTAGTTTTTAGGTTTGCATCTTTCCAGTTTGTTTTATGTGTGTTAATATCTGATGTTTTTACTCAGTTGCAGAATGAAGAGGAGCCTGGGGAACCTGAGCAGACTGCAGGTGACGCTCCTCCACCTTACAGCAGCATCTCTGCAGAGAGTGCAGGTGGGGACTGAGGTCGGGGTTGACTGGCACTCACAGACTCATCCAGTAGATCTTGCCTGCTCTTTGTCTTCTCAGAAATTGGCCCAAGTTTTAATTTGTAGCCCAAAGTGAAAACTTGTGTTATTGTTATCTGACTCTAAAAACCAGATTAACACCACCTGCCTTTTTTTCCAGGTGTTAAAGAAGGGCTTTTATTAGTGGTGAGGGAATAGATACACACTGTAAGGTACGCAGAGAAGATGACCCTCTGCAAAGCAAAAGGAAGACCCTGGACACCAAAGTCCCAAAACCCCATTTACCAGCTGCCTTTTTAGAGAGCTCAAGTTCATTCCAGCTGACTTTAAAGGAAGGGAAACTGAGGCACAGGCTGGGTTTGGTGTACTGGAGAGGTGTTTAGCGTGTTGGAAGTCAGCTTGGACTACATGAGACCTAGTTTCAAAAACAAAAACAAAATAAAAACATAGGGAAGAATGGAAGAAAGAGTTGAACTAAGTGATCACCTGTTTTTCATAATTTCTTCATTAGTGAAGCTTCTCCTGTGAGGGAAGAAAAAGTGTCAGTAGGACTTTAATAACAGTTTCTGATAATCATTTCTGCTATAGTTCTTCAGAGGTCACCAGTTTTGTTTTTAATTATATTTATGTATTTTATTTTATGTGAGAGTGTTTTGCTTCTATGAAGGGTTGTTGGAACTGGAGCTACAAATGGTTGTGAACTGCCATGTCAGTACTGGGAATCAAACCCATGTTCTCTGCAAGAGCAAAAGGTATTCTTAGTCACGGAGCCATTGCTTCAGCTCCAGCTCACCAGTTTTGATAGAACCACTTCCATATTCTGTAAAACGGGATTGTGGCAGAGTGGCAAGTAGGGCCATGTGCCACTACTGAAACCCATCTTCTACTTCATCGTAGGAAAACTGAAGACATTCATTCTTGTAAAGCCTTGACAGCCTTAGCATCCTTTTATTATGACACTGGGAAGCTGGGGACAATTCATATGAGATTGATTCCATTGGTAGGCTGGTGTTCTGAAGGCATCGTTTTAATGGTGTGGAACATAGGTCATCGTTTTACCTCTAGTTTGCTTTAGTTTCTAAGCTCTAATCTTGGTCTGCTTGCATTTCTGTTCCCTTATAGTAGTTATGGTTCTTTGATTTGTGAGCTCCTGAACTTACCTTGCTAAAATTCAGACTTTGGAAGAACTGTAGATTTTCTCATGGAATCAGCCTATAACTAGGACACCTGGAGATTGGGATAGAGCTCAGTAGAATGTTTGCCTGCCATGTGTGAGGTCCTGGCTTTGTTCCTCAACCCTGGAGGCAGATAGTTTTCATATTCTAAACTTGGAAAAGAAATCATGCTCATGTCTTGCATACTGTGTACAGTCCTCTTGCTGGGATCTCAGGTGTGAGCTTCCACACTCAACCTTGATCATACATACTGGTTTTCCCTTAAATGTATCCATCTCATTAAAAGACTTTAGATTCATTGTTTCATTCATGATCAAAAGTCCTTAATGCTTTGCTACCCAGAATCATCCCCTCCTGACTAGTATTTGAATATCTATCTTCTGTAGTTGTAAATTTTGTTGAGTTTTGGGGGTTGGTTTTGTTTTGTTTATTTAGGCAGGGTTAGCCTATACAAGCAACTCTGGGTAGCTGGTGCTTGCCTTAATTCCTGACCCTCCTGCCTCCAACTTTTAACCAGTTGAGATATTTTTTTCTCAAACACTTCTACCTATCTTCTTTCTATATTCTTTCTAAAAATTCTTCTTTTGACATAGGGATTATAACTCGAAACAATCTCTGGTAGATAAATCCAATTAGATAGTAGGGTAACGGGGAGGGGAGAGAGACAGACAAATGGACGGACAGAGACAGTGAGTTTGAGACAAGATCTCACGTATGTCTGTAACTGCAATGCTAGTGGGCAGAGAAAAATAGGCTTTTGGAGCTCTCTGGCCAGCCAGTCAAACCAGTTGGTGAACTGCAAATTCAGTGAGAGATCTTGTTTAAAGAAGAGTTGTAGAGGAAGGTATCCATTGTCAGCCTCAGGCCTCCATACGCGTGCACACACGTGATCCTGTGCACAAGCATACACCACACACCCAAACATCGTCTCCCACATAAGTCCACAGACAAAGTAGGGGAGGGGAAAGAGAGAAAGTGATAGAGGAAGATAGGCAGTGTTAACCTCCCCATATACACATATGTGTGTATACTTACATAAGTGTTCACCACAAACATACATGCATATACCACAGACACACAAAAGTTGGCATCTGTGTAATGCCTTTGAAGTTATGATCACACACACAACCCCCACCTCAATTTTATTGAGCTTTTGTTTGTTGTTGGTACATTGTACATATGTTGTACATATTCAGGTACAGCTAATGGCTTATATTAACCATATAGCCTTAACTTTTTTTTTTCAAATGTATACACACATGTGGTTGTGTATATACAACATGTTTGTATGGGTGCCAGCAGAGGCCAGAAAAGGACATGGGATCCTCTGCGGCTAGAGTTAAAAGAGGTTGTGAGCTTCACAGTGCCACTTCTGGGAACTAAACTGGGGACCTCTGGAGTGGCAGCAAGCACTTGTAACTGCTGAGCTGTCTCAGCCCTGGGTTCTCTAATCATTAAGGGAGAAAGCTTTAATAAACTACCAGTGACTGTAATCTTCTCTTTGGGTGTTTGTTTGCAGTACTGGAGACTGAAATTAGGGCCTTATACATATGAAGCAAATGCTCTGCCTCTGAGGTCTTATAGCCCAGATCATACTACTGGGTATTTTCTAAATATTTGTGATCAAATTAAGGAAGTTTTCTTATTTTACCATTTTTTAATGGATACTGAATTTTTGTTTCTTTGTTTTGAGAAAGCGTCTCTCATAGATCAGGTTGTCCACAAATACTGTGTATAGAGAGACTGATCTTGAACTCCTGGTTTTCCTGCCTTTCCCTGGATGGAAAATGTTAGGATTACAGGCTTGTGCCCCTACACCCAGCACCTGAATACTGGGCATGCTGGCTCATGCCTGTAATAGCCCTTGGAAGGCTGAGACTGGAGACAATTTGAGTACAGACTGAGTTCTGTATATGGCTAGATCCTGTTACTGAAGAAGAAGACAAGGAGAAGGAAGAGGGAGAATATTGTTCCCTATATGTTTTCTGTTAATAACGGGCATTGATGATCCACAATTTCAATAATGTTTTGCAGTAAAATGTTATGTTAGCTGTTGTAGGAGCTCATCCCTCTGATATCAGCACACTGGAGGTTAAGACAGAGTAGTGGTAGGTAGTTCCAGCCTGGGCTACACAGCAAGATCTTGTTCGGAGAAAAAAAGATTTACAGAGAAGTTCATCTATAACTGGAGAATAAAAGAAAGAAAACTGTTACATGAACTATAGAAAATTTTTCCAAAGCTTGAAACTGTTTGGAAGTTTAACCTTATAAATACATCTTTTCTGTTATGCTGAATCTTTGTAATAGAAGTCAGTGAGCAAGAACTAGTGTTCAGAAGAGGAAATGAAAGATTTCATAGAATTATTTTTTAATCAAATTAGTTACCTCAACACATCCGAGTATGAAGTAAAAACAGGAGTCCAAGTACGGGAACACATGAATATCAAGCTTTTTCATTTTTCTTAAGTTGATTTGAATACATTTGTTGATGATACATTTGTTATTAAGAGGAAATATAATGTAGATCTTAGTGCACATGTGAAGGCTTTTTAAATCCTTTAATAGGAGATCTTACTGTGTTGCCTAGGCTGGGCTGGAGCTTGTGACCCTATAACATTCATCTCCTAATTATCTGAGATCACAGGCATGCTAAGTATTTTCCATAGCTATTTAAATTACTAGGTCTAGTGGTTACAAGTCTGGGACAGGAAGATTGTAAGTTCAAGGGCAGCCTGGGCAAAATAAAAAGAGGGCTGGAGATGTGGCTCAGTGCATATCTTGTCTGCATGCACAAGGCTCTGGGTTTGATTCCCCAGTACCACAGAAATAAAATACTTCTTAAATTCAATAGTGGTCCAAAACAATTGGAAGTAAGGATATAAAGTGAGTTTTTAAATTTATTCATTTTGATTGATTGGTTGGCTGGTTGATTGGCAAGAGTCTCACTATGTAGCCTTGGCTGGATTGGAACTTGCTATATAGCACAGGCTGCCCTAGAACTCACAGAGATCCACCTGCCTTTACCTCCTGAGTGCTAAGATTAAAGGTGTAGTGAATCTATTTTTTAAATATAAACTTAAAAATCATCCTGAATGTTTATAAATGTCTTTTGCTTCATTTAGATTTTGTTACTTTTTTTTTCCTGCAGCATATTTTGACTACAAAGATGAATCTGGGTTTCCAAAGCCCCCCTCTTATAACGTGGCTACAACACTGCCCAGTTATGACGAGGCTGAGAGAACCAAGGCTGAAGCCACGATCCCTTTGGTTCCTGGAAGAGTAAGCAGTTTCTTTATGTTGCTTTTGGGCTACTTAGTTGGAATAAAGTTATTTTCTTATCCAATATTGAGTTACTGGAATAGCCTTGGTTACAGCTAATTTTAAGCATATATATTTTCATTTGGAATAATAAGCATCCTTTCCTGAAAATGATGCACTCAGCAGAAAATCACTGACCTGTTCATTTTGCTGTACTTCTAAGGATACTACCACTGCCACCTCCCCTTCAAGCCTCCTGGGATGGGAGGAGAGGACTTAGGTAATACACTGGCTTTGCCTTGATTTGTACACACACTTAATATTTTGGTTTTAGCTCATAACTGTTAGGGATGCCTATGGAGAGAGGAAATACAAATGACATCATTGAATTCATGAGACCTAGCACCATCCATGTAAACTTTGTGTCTCCAACATTCCAGATTATACCATTTGTGTGCCATCTGTAGGTTCAGATCCCTTCTAGCCTGCTGAAGATGGGAGAGAGATTTAAGATTGATGCAGCTAGGAGTAGGAGTATAGCTCAGTTGGTAGGGTGCCTAGCATGTACAGAGCCCTGGGTTTGATCCCCAGCACAGCATACTCCAAATATGGTGGCACATACCTGTAATCGCACCACTCAGGAGGTGGAAACAAGAAGATTAGAAGTTTAAGGTCATCCTCAGCTGCATACTGAGTTCATAACCAGCCTGGGATTCATGGGATGCTGGAAGGAAGGAATCAAGAGTAAGTAGACACTCAGCAAGTGGCAGCAGCAGGCAGTACACCTTCTATAGTATGTCTGCTCTTGTGCAGCCTTGGACCCCTAGCTCTACTTAAAAGTAGACAAGTAGAACTGGTTGCATTGGCACACACCTGTAATCCCAGCACTCAAGGAGGCAGAAGCAGGTGCATCTCTGTGAGTTCGAGGTCAGCGTGGTCTACAAAACAAGTCTAGGACAGCTAAGGCTACCCAGAGAAACTCTTATCTTAAATCTATACAGCACAAGAGCTGTGCAAGAACATCAAGAACTGTGTCTTTCTACTAGATGATCATAGGGAGAATACTGGGTTTGTAGATGGGTTTGTAGAGTTTTGATAGTGGGAAAAGCCCAGAACACATATATGTTCAACCAGGGACAGAGCAGTTCTGTGGATATAATGATTAGTTTTGTGTGAGCAAGGAGTTTGCAAAGGGAGTTTGGAGATGTGACCAGAACTGTAATTTATCGCATCCTTGGAACAGTAAGCTTGAGACATTTGCAGCTGGTGTGTAGCTTAGGGAGATTCTTCAAATTTTTGAACAAGAGTGTGAAAAGGCCTAGTGCTATTTTAAAAAGCAAGAACCTAGAAACAGTGTATAGAAGGAGTCACGGGACATAGAGAGGATATGAAGAAATACGAATAAGGAATAAGAAATACACTTAAAGTGACAGTACTCTCAGAAGTCACTTTAAGTTATCTTTGGAGTCTATCTTTGAGTAGTTATTCAAAATGAATACTAAAACAGGACTAATTTAAATTTGCATCATGTTATTAATCATCATATTATTAATATTAAGTCAGAATATTAGACATTTGCTAATTTTTTTAAGTATAAAACAAATGATATGTCATAAAAATTTCCAACAGTAGAGGAAGGTTGTTAAATCACAAAAGAAAGTGACCACTGCCAGTGCCCATCTAGGTCCCAGTCTCCACAGGGAATGTCTGTAGCATTTGGTACAGATCTTCCCATACCTTTCTGCTATAAAATAAGTTTTATTTGTCCTGAAGACCATTCATTTGAGGAGCACTCATTGAACTATGGAGAAGTATGGTCAGTTTTACTTTGAAGTTGTATCCAGGTTACTTTTCTACATAGTTACATATGTTACATAGTCTACATCATTTGAGAAGGTTGGCCACATACCTTCCTGTTGGCCAGGATCATGTTCCTTTTAGGCTATAGTAATAATAATTGTCTTTTCAGATTAGGATGGACAGATCCTGTCTGTCAGTAAGGAAGGAGTTTTCAGATCTGTGTTCCAGTGCAAACAAATGCTTATGTTGCTGAGCAGTGGACAGCCATGTGTTCTTCATGGATGAGCATTCTGTCCTTGCCCCTTGGAAGCATTTGAGATGCCACTGTTGCCTCTTCAGTGGGCTCTAGCTCCTGATATTACAGGTCTCCAGCAGACCTTGGGTTGCTGGTACTCCTTAAGTCATATGTGTAGTTAATTTTTTGTTTGTTTGTTTGAGGTAGAGTCCCACACATCCCTTGGTGAGCTAGAACTTGCTCTGTAGACCATGCTGGCTTGAAAGTCACAGAACTCTACCTGCCTCTGCCTCGTGAGTGCTAGGGTTAAAGATGTGCCACCATGCCTAACTGAGGGAATCTTCTTAAAATAATTTGCTATGGATCTAGAAATGTAGCTTAATGGTAGTTCCTGCTTGACATTTGTGAGGTGAGAACCTAGGTTCAGTCCACAGTACAAACAATAACTAAGAATAAGAATAATAACTTACTCTATAAATAAATAGTTTTGAAAGCTCTTAGGATATTAAAATGATTCATTTTTGCTCCAAGTTGCTGAGCCTTTAATGCTTAGTTCTGGATTAAACCAGTAATAAATGTACTCCTAGATACTTGTATTCACTTGTATTGTGCTTTTTTTAAAAAATTTATTTAACTTTATTTTATGTGCATTAGTGTGAAGGTGTTAGATCCTTTGGAGCAGGCAGTTGTGAGCTGCCATGTGGGTGCTGGGAATTGAACCCCGGTCCTTTAGAAGTATGGACGGTGCTCTTAACCACTGAGCCATCTCTCCAGCCCCATCTATTAGTTTTTTTTTTTTTTTCTGTTGTCATTCCTTTGTCCAGAAATAATTCATTATGACCGTGCCTTATTCTTTTTCCTTTGTTTAGGATGAAGATTTTGTGGGTCGAGATGACTTTGATGATACTGACCAGCTGAGGATAGGAAATGATGGGATTTTTATGTTAACTTTTTTCAGTAAGTGTATACGCAGCAGTCACTTCCTACAAACCCAAATGCTCTGAATTCATCAATGGGAAGTATGATTATGGGCGCTGCATATTTACACACACCAATTCTTTTCTTCCAGGCCCCCAGGGCCCATTGCTATCATGCCTGCTCATACCCAGATAGCACAGTAGGAATGTAGCAACTTTATCTGATGGGTTTTGTTCTATAAGCTTCTATTTTTCTGATAGATCAAGGTCAATCTGATTTTCTTCTTTGTGTTGTCTTAATTTATGTTTTTATGCACCTCACTTACCAGTGAGCACCTATTTTATTTACTCTATTAAAAACACAGAAAACTCAGTGCAAAAAAAGTGATGCTATGAGCTGTCAGAAGACATAGAGCAGAATGATAACTTAAATCACATTTACCTGGGGCCTCCAGTGTAATATCCACAGCATTTAGTTTACTTACTAATCTGTATGGCAGCAAAGACAGGAACAGCGTGTTTGGCACAGACAACAGCACATATAGAGGATAAAACATGAGACTCAAAGTCTCTCTCTTGAGAGATTGAAAAATGCTTGTGGGGAGGCAGAGATAGGTGGTGAAGAGGAGGCTCCTTGGTGTCCTTGGGAAAGCCATGTAAGCAGAGGCTGCTGCAAAGAACTCTGTCCTTGGCTAACCTATCTTTTCCCTCCACTCTTACAGTGGCATTCCTCTTCAACTGGATTGGGTTTTTCTTGTCTTTTTGCCTGACCACCTCAGCTGCGGGAAGGTATGGGGCCATCTCAGGATTTGGTCTTTCTCTAATTAAGTGGATTCTTATTGTCAGGGTAAGTTGCATAGCAGAGAACATAGATTGTGAAGAGAAGCAGTATTTGAAAATATTTGAATATTTTCATGTTTTGATATTTTAATATTTAAAGTGATAATTTGGTTTGTCTTTGTTCTGGTTCAAAGATAAAGCGAGCTAAAATCTATTGCACACAGTTCCTATCTTCATGTTTCATGTACAGATCTGTAAGGTGATAATCTATCTTATAGGTTGTTTTGATGTTTACAATATGCTAATGGATGTATACAGCCTGGAGTTTCTTTGAAACAAAGGGTATCTCTTTGCTGTCTCAGAAAAGGCAGGCATTCATGTCAATTCTCTTATAATTTTAACCTCATTACTTTGTGTATCCTTCCCTAGATTTTACTTCTAGGACTGCTTATGCAGAAATATGTCTAGTGTTCCATTAGAGAATTTCCTTTGATAAAATTATAGCACTGTATGTCTTCAGTGATATGGGATTTCCCAGGTGAAGCTGCATAAAATAATTGAAATTCTAAAACATCTAGGTTCTTAAAAAAAACAAAAACAAAAACAGCTATCTTTAATTTGTTCAAAGCCACACAACTGTTTAAAAATGCTTTCAAAGAGGGAGCCAAGGTCTACAAGATGTTTGGCCTGGGATTGTAGAAATTCTTTAATAAACCCAGAATACCCTTATACTCAGTCTCTTGGAGCTCTGGCTAACCTATCTTTTCCCTCCACTCTTACAGTGGCATTCCTCTTCAACTGGATTGGGTTTTTCTTGTCTTTTTGCCTGACCATCTCAGCTGCGGTGGCCATCTCCAGTATTCTCGGAATACTCCTTAGTGATGATCTTAATGGAGCTGCCAAAGGTTCAGGGTCTGATGCAAAGTATACTTTAAAAGCCTAAATGTTGCCTTGAGGTGGTGGCACAGGCCTTTAATCCCAGTACTAGGGAAGCAGACTCAGGTGGATCTCTGAATTCGAAGACACCCTGGTCTATATAACTAGTTCCAAGATCGCCAGGGCAAGAGAAACCATTCCCCCCCCCCCCAAAAAAAAAAAAAAAAAAGGCCTAGACATTGAACCAGATTTACCAGTGGGTTCAGTACTTTTTTTAAAATGTACTTTGCTGCCACCCGTACGGTCCCACACTTTTAATCCCAGCAGAGATGGGTGGTTCTCTATGAGTTCAAGGCCAGCCTAATTACATAGTGAGTTACACAGGAAAAGCCTGTGTACAAACAGATGAGTTTGTTGCTGTTGTCAACCTGGCAGACAAAACCAGATTGTTATAAATTGGCATACTGTACCTGGGGAGATGGTTCAGTGGGTAGGAGCACTAGCTGGCAAGCATGAGAACCCCAGTTTGAGTCCGTACCCACATAAAAAGGTGGGTGTAACTGCACATGTCTAGAATCACCACAGCATTGGAGAGTAGAGATGGCAGATCCCAGAGATCGCTGAGCAGCTAGTCTAGTCAAAAAGGCAAGCATCTGCTTTAGTGAGGTGAAGCGTGATAGAGGAAGACACCTGATGTCTTGCCCTGGTTTCTGTGTGTGTCTGAGCACACAGGTGCAAGTTTGCATCATGTATGCACCTCACACATGAACAGCACACCCATTATTAACTAATGGATGTTAATTGGCCATTGTAGCTTTTCAAGGCAATTCTAAAGCATTCATTGACTATTTTAGGAACCCAAAATCCTTTGAAAATTAGATAATTTTGGTTTCTTCCTGGATGGCTAATTTATATTCATTTAAAAACATTGACTTCGGAAAAAACAGTCAGAACCCATGGACCTGAAGACCCAAGTCCAAGAGAAGTAGTCATTTCTTTTTACAATTTTAATTGTCACTTTATTAAGAAATAAAATATTAGGAGCTGGGGAAATGGATTGGTGGGAAAGTCCTTGCCACAAAAGCATGATTTTGGATTCCTAAAAAACTAAAAGCCAGACGCAGTAGTACATGCTTTGTGCTGCCAGTGCTCCTGTGGGGAGAAAAGAGGCAAAGAGAAGAATCTGGAAGGGAAACAGGCTGACTAGCGTCTGTCTGTAGCATGCAGAGACGCTGTTTTTAACAGGGTGGAAGGCTAGGACCAACACCTGAGCTTCTCTAACTTCCGCATGCGTGTCAAGCTGTGTACTTGCGCGCACACAGAATAGAAAGAAGGAGAGAAAAGAAAAGTATGCACTGGAGCCTCCAGCATCTCTGCTTCTCAGTCTGTTACCTTTGGTTAAAGTCTGAATTTTTCAGAAAAAAAATGGGTGATAAGTTTTTTGTTGTTATTTGTTTGTTTGTTTCATTGTTTTGACTTGAGACAACATCTCACTATTTAGCCCTGGCTGGACTGGAACTTTCTGTATAGACCAGGCTGGCTTTGAACTCGCAGAGATTCGCCTTCCTCTACCTCCCTAGTGCTACGATCAAAGACATGCACTCGTTCTTGGCCCCATTTGATACATTTTTAATGGCTTGCCATATAGAGCAGTAAAATTTCTCAGACCATCCTGTTCAAAACTTGCCTTGGTCAGGAGCCCTCTGCTTCTCAGATCATCTTGGTACCACAGTGCTTGCAGTTGTAATCCTTTTTAAATGTTCACGGTCCCAAATTGTGAAAGGAGTGATGTTGGCAGTTTGCATTTGCAAAGAGAAGCTACACACTTCTTTCCAGTGAAAATTTTCACAGAATGATGAAAGAGGGAAAAAAATCCCATCCTGAGGTTTCTCAGATGTTTATGGCAGCAAGATTTTTTTTTAAGAACCATGTTTGTATAAATTATCACAGTATATTTTTAGTTATTTCAGGTGACACTAATTGTATGCAATTCATAAATCAAACTTTATCAAAGGTTCATATATACAGAAAAATTGTATATACATATGTATAGGATTTGGAACTGTGTCATTTTAAGCATTCATGATGGTCTTGAAAGCTGTCTTCCATGGACAAAGAGGAAATACTGCATTTTAATTCTCAGACCTTGTACGCCAGTAAAATTGGTTACAGATCTATTAAACACTAAATCTTTAACTAAGTGGTCAAAAATATAAGCTATTAGAAAGACTGAACTTACATTATTAAGTATCCTTGGAATCTAACAAAAACCAAGGCAAGTCAGAAAAAAAAAAAATTGAAGTTTTTAATTCCCCACCAAAATAAGTCCTGCCAGAGAGGTTCAGTAGAACAGCACTTCAGCATCAACAGGGAGAGCTGAAACTTCAGCTTATTGCTATAGTTCTCGCTCTCATCCAGTTTAAAAGCTGGTGGTTTAGATATTATACTGAAACACAACAGTACTTCACAGAAGACTGTGAACTACACATGATTTAAAATATTCACCTTGCAGAATGGCATAGTATAGTGTCAGAATATGCTAGAATCTCAGCTGTTTTGCCCTGTGATCTTGAGGCTGCCTGAGAGCTGTGACTGGCTACCACCACCCAGCATCCTGAGAGACTGTTTTCATCCTACCTAGCACAAGGCTGGGGAAAGACTCAAATGCAGAAGATGATTTTTACTGAATGCATATTGTTTGTGTTATATCATAAAGTTAATGGCTTTTTCTTTTCATTTGGTTTTTTTGAGACAGGGTTACTTTGTGTAATAGCCTTGTCTTTTCTGGAACTCACTTTGTAGACCAGGCTGGCCTGGAGAGATCCACCTTCCTCTGACTCTTGAGTGCTGGGATTAAAGGCATGTGCCACCACACTCAGCTCAGTTAATCATTTTTTTTTTTTGGGGGGGGGGGATCTGTATTCTTTTTCTCTTTTAAGAGGCCTTCAGTTCTTACTAAAACAGTGTGCTGTGCCCGTTCCTGGCAAAGGTATAGGCCTACTGTGAAGTACATGATACAAAGTTCTGAAGTCAAGGTTAGTAACAAACAGGCCCTTGCTGGCATGGAGACAGTGATGTCAGCCAAACAATTGCCTCTAGTACTGAATGCAAACAATAGAATTAGAAACATATTCAGATGGGAAATACTTTGTGGAAGATTGCCAGATTAGAGTCATGTACTATCATGCTAGGGATTTTTGAAAGTTTTCTAACAAAACCAAGAGCTGATATGGTGGCACAAGTGTGTTATTCCAACACTTGGGAGACTGAAACAGAAAGAGCAAAACTAAATCCATCCTGAGCTATATACCAGCCACTCCACCCCTTTGCCCTCCCTCCACCCGTATCTGAATACATGCAAAGCCCATTCTTTTGTATATTTGCAAAATGAGGAGTCTATAGTAGAGCAGAAAACGTTAAGGTCCCCCCCCCATTTGAAGAAGCTGGTTTGCATTTATTGAAACAAATTAAAAGTGAATATATCTTATTTTTTACAGTTGTGTTTTTTTTTTTTTTTGTTTTTGTTTTTTTGTTTTTTTTTTTGTGGTGCTAGAGATGGTTCAGTGGTTACTATTTGTTTTTGCAGGGGACCTGGGTTTGATTCCCAGCACCCATACGGTGGCTCACAACCATTTATAATGCTAATTCCAAGGGAAGCTGATACTCTCTTCCAAACTGGAAGCATTCACGCACCAAGCATTCATGTGGTGCACATACAATAATATAGGCAAAACATGCTCATTAAATAAATGATTAAAAAATACTTATAAATGGTCTAAGTGACAGTTGTGTTTTGTGTGCCTCTAAATTAGTATATGAAATTGTTCTGTTAGCCTGAAATAAAGTCTTTGCCCTTTTTCTTTCTTTTCTTTCTTTCAGTTTTCTACCTATTTCCCTGGATACTTTGATGGCCAGTACTGGCTCTGGTGGGTGTTCTTGGTTTTAGGTAAGTGCTTTTAACATAAGAAAATGAAATTAAATTTTTTTTTCCTTAAATTTTTAAAAAAATGTCTGTTGTAAATAAAAAAAAGAGTGTTGGGCTATATAATGTTTATTATTAGCCCTAAGAATATCACCGTGCTATTATCTAACCCACTATCACAAATAATGACACAGACACCTGTTAGATTTTATAATTGCCTTATTTATCTTGAGCCCGGCAGATATTGCTATCTCAGTAACCTCACCATCCATCTCCAAGCCCCCATCCAATGCCATCCTCCCTTACCATCCTCATCTGGTCTAGCTTCCGTCCATAATCCCAAGATACTTGCTTATATTCTTGGTGTTTTCTCCATCCATGTTATCCTTGGAGTCCTTCCTCCTCGCCCACATGGTTCCTTCTCCATCTAACCATCATGGTGTCCTCCTTCCTCCTCTCTTTTTGTTCGTCTCTTTTTTTTTTTTATTCTCCTGTCCTCAAAAGCCTAGGAACCTTAGCCATGCCTACCCAGATCTGCCCTGCCTAAGGTATAGGCCCTTTAATCAGCCAGTCAGGTAGGTTTACATAACAAGGATAGGTGTATCCAGGCAACAATATACACGAATCAGAGCAACCTCTAACAAATGTAAATTAGACAGCTATAATTACTTTAGCAAAGCCTCATTTCACTGTATAGTATTCATCAACAATTTAAAATGTCATTTTCAAATGCTTCTTCCTTAAAGGTCAGGTAGTTTCCAGCAGTAGAGTAGAGTAGAGCATGTATGTTAATATAACAGTTTGTGAAGTGCTTTTCCTGCTCCGTTTAATTCTGATCATTGGGCATACTGGTGACACTATAGTGTAGATTTTTTTCTACTTCTAGTTACTGCCACAGAGGGCTTGCACACTCAACCCCAAGTTGATTATAAATGTACTCTAACCAGCTGAATTAATTATGTATGTGAGCCTTCTTTGGCTAGATCTGTCAGTAGACCACAGAAAATTTATATGTAGCTCCAATGCACATAACTTCTGAAATTGTGGGGTTTCTAGAATTCCGTAGTCATCATCGATAAGACTTACTTTGTAGTAAAAGGACAGATTAAAACTATTTGGCTAGGCCTGGTGGTGGAGGCTACCCCCCACCCCTTTAATCCCAGCAGTTGGGAGGCAGATCACTGAGTTCTAGGTCAGCCTGGTCTACAGAACTAGTTCCAGGACAGCCAAGATTTGAAAAAACAAAGAAAAACAAAAAACAACAACAACAACAAAAAAACCTCTACATACACACACACACGTATACATACACACATGTGCGTGCTTGTGCACATGAAGATAGTCTGGCTATTAATCTTCAGATTATAATTTTCATTATTTTAAATTATTTTCTTTCTAATCATTAAAGTAAGGAAATTAGTATTGGTGAATTATTTTAAGGTGGCTTTGTTATTTATAAGGAAATATGTGTGATATAATAACAGGCTATCCTCATCATTGCTGTCATGTCTACAAAGCAATAACAGAGCTATCCAGTAGCTTTCAAAGATGATGAGGCTTGAGGGATGGTTCAGTGGTTAAGAGTTCAGAGTGTTTTGCAGGGGACCCAAGTTTGATTCCCAGTACCCACATCTGACCATGAGAGTGCCTGTACTCACCTGCACATACCCCAACACAGAAAACATATAATTAAAAGTAAAGTTTTAAAAAGAAAGATAATATAATTGGCATTGGACATCTGTGACATTATCACTCTGTCCTACAAAGGTCAGCACTCATGATGTGACTCTTGGTTATCACCAAAACCTTTTTTTTCCTGGTTTAGACCTTTCTTTTTTTGTTTTCATTTGTTTGCTTTTGTTGTTTTGTTTTTGTTTTTGTTTTGAGATGATTTCTCTGTATAGCCCTGGCTCTTTGCCTCCCAAATGCTGAGATTAAAGGCTTGTGCAGCTACACCTGGCCTTCTTTCTTTTTGGTTTTGTTTGTTTTCCTTCTCTCTCTCTCTCTCTCTCTCTCTCTCTCTCTCTCTCTTTATTTTTTATTTTTTTTTTTAAGCAAAGTCCCAGTGTAGGCCAGGCTGGTCTACAGGCTGGCCTACACGGATACATAGCTGAGGATAACCTAGAACTGATCTTCTTTCCTGTTCCTTTCAAGTATTGGATTGTAGAGGTGCACCACCATGCCTGATGTTCAGATCCCTAATTTGACTATCTCCTTTTCTGTTTCCTTTTGAGACAAGGTCCTGCTATGTACTCTGTCGCTGGCCTCACTCTGTAGATCAAGAAGTCCTTGAGCTTGCTTGATCCTCCTGCCTCTGCCTCCCTAGTGTGCACCACCATGTTTAGTTCCTGCTTTACACACCTTCGTGTATCCTCTGTCCGAGCTGTTGGAGGGACTGTTCTTCCTGAATCTGGCTAGCTCAGCCCAACACCTAAGGCCAGCAGGAGCTTGAGAGTTGAGACCTGCCTTTCTTAGTCAGTAGATCCAAGCATTACTGACCCTGCATCTTAGAAAATGCAAGTCATCCATGGCATCATTCCCTCTTGCACTGGGGCATTATCTATTCCGGATTACTGGAATCTAATGTTTCCAGAAAGAGAAAGGGTGAATTTCCCCCTCCCTTGATTTCCACAAGTTTAATAAAACTAAGTAGCAGGAGAATGACTCAGGAGGAATAACGTTTGCCTTGTTTATTCTCTCAGATGGACTCCGAGAGAAAAGCTGGGTTGAGTATTGAGCCCAGTGGCCTAGGACACTTGCCTACGTGCTCAGTCCTTGGCCTTAATCCCTAGCACCATTTGAAAGATGATGAAGAGTAAAGCTGATCACTCACTGGCTGAAAGATAGACCAAAGTCCAGATGGATCAAAGGAGAAACAGGGGCTGGAGAGATGGCTCAGTGGTTAAGGGTACCGTGTACTCTTTCAAAGGACCCAGGTTCAGTTCCCAGCACCCACATAGCAACTCACAACTGTCTGTAATGCCAGTTCCAAGGGATCTGACACCACTTCACACTAATGCACACAAAATAAAAATAAAAATTTTTTAAAAAGAAGAAATAATAGGCATTTTTCAGTTGGCTTATTTGTAATATAAACTAAATACAGTTAATGGACTGATTTTTATATCAGTGTTTCCCGGAAGAAGGATTGATATTTTATTATTGAGCCTTTTTTGCTGTGTTCTATTTCATTATAAGCACCGTCTATTTAAATCTGTATGTTTGCAGCCTCTCCTTGTGTCTCTGGGAACGTCTATAGGGATCTGTGCAGAGCATACCCAAGCTGGTGGCTCCGGACCTGCAGCTAGTGAACTCTAGTAGTTTGTTTACCCCAGTTGTTATTTCGGTTTTTTGAAACAGAGTTTCTCTGAGTAGTCCTATCTGTCCTGGAATTCACTCTGTAGACCAGGCTATCCTGAAATTGAGTTATCTGCCTGCCTTTGTCTCCTGATTGCTGGGATTAAGGGTGTGTCACTACTTCGTAGTTTACCCTAGTTATTTTTAAAGTTGCTTTAAATTAGTTGGCAGCATTTAAAAATCAAGATACTTTACATAAATACCTTAAAATTTTAAGCTTTTCTCAGCACTTGGAATAGCTAGCAAATACAGTCCCATATGGTGCTGCCAGGCCCTCCTTTCCAGTGATGGCGCTGCCATTTCAGGAGAACCAGCCTGTGAAGGTTAGCCTGTACTATATTTCTGTGCTTTTGGTGTCAAACTGAATGATACTCATTAGTCTCAACATTGATAACTTGGTTTTTACTAAAAAAAGAACTTTTTACCACTGAGTTTATTTAAAAATTCCTTAAAACAAACTAGGTTAATGATTACTTGGAGCTGGGACAGAAGAGGAGGGCTCAGGTGAATGAGTAACCACTACTAAGGTCCACTGGTTGGGAGAGGGATGACAAAAAGGCCTGAATTAGATTGTGATTGTTGTACAAGTCAGTAAATACATTAAAACTCACTGCCTTGTATGCAGTGAACTTTATAGCATTGCATTGGTACATTGTATCAATGGCATTGAAGAGTATCTCTGAAGGAGGGCTTTCATTTGAGGGGCACATTTGAGGGCTGAATGTGTGAGTTTGGTGCTGTCAAACCATCTTTAAGAGTAGAAAACTGGGGCGGGGCATTGGTGAACACCTTTAATCCCAGCACTTGGGAGGCAGAGACAGGTGGATTTCTGAGTTCAAGGCCAGCTGATCTATAGAGCAAATTCCTGGACAGCTAAGGACTATGAAGAGTGTCTCTGGGAAAAAAACAAAAGTACAAAACTGGAGTTCTACACAAGTGGGTGCTGACATCTAGTGGACAACGTTATGTACTGGTGGCAGAAAACTAAATAACAAAAGATCAGAATTAAGCTTGAGAACAGCAAAATTTTGGTGGTGTGTGCCTGTAATCACAGAAAACTCCGGAGAAGGAGGCAAAAAAGAAAGTAGGAGTTCAGAACACCTTGCTCACATAGAAGATTGGAGATCAGCCTGTATACTGAGAGCATATTTCAGAAAACAAAACCATTTGTAATCTCCCTTTTGGAGTTAATTGTGTGGATGTTATTTGGAACTCAGCAGGAGGATTCTATAGACTTCCCAGTGAGGCCTCCAGATGTGAATGTGTGGCCCCAGTTTACATTCCATTTCCTTTGAGACCAGTTAGCTCCTTCAGAGAGGCGCTCACACTTGAGATTTTGCCTTCCTGTTGAGATGTGGGTAACTGAATAGAAAAGTCCTTTGAAGATGTTGGGGGAAACTGCCTGCGTTAATAGGCTTCAGCAGGAAAATGACATGTTCCTGTAACAAGGGGAAGTTCTGGGGAAGGGGTTTAATGCATAAATTAGAAGTTCATTCTTGACTTTCTTTTCTTAATTAGGCTTTCTCCTGTTTCTCAGAGGATTTATCAATTATGCAAAAGTTCGGAAGATGCCAGAAACTTTCTCAAATCTCCCCAGGACCAGAGTTCTCTTTATTTATTAAAGGTATGGGGGTGGTGTGTGTTCCTGTTGTGATCATGTGATAGCATTGCAGAGTTCCAATCAGTTTGGAGTGAGGCTGGGATAGGGATACATAAATTGTAGGAGGGCATAAAAAAATTCTTGTCTTTTCCCTATTTTTATTGGAGGAGTGGTGTTTACAAAAGTTGTTGAGGGCAAAGGGAAGAAAAAAGTTGTTTTGGCAAGTGTATCAGTAGTAATGGGGGGAGGGGCGGTTAGGGTATTGATGACCGGGTTGAGCCCATCAGGCCTTCTCTTCCCTACTCTCACAGAGCCACAGAATGCCTTGAGGGGAATCAGCAGCTACATTAGGAACAGGTCCTCTTGCTGTGCTACTGACAAGCCCACTAAGACATCCATTTCTTAAAATTAATTCTTGGGCCTTTGCCACCTTGCCTTTGCCTGTTTCAGGTTTATACCAAGATTTTACCACTCTGGTGGAGTGGAAACTCAGATCCAAGGGGAGGAGAGGGACCTTTCCTTTCCTTGGAACAGAACTAAGCCCTGAACTATTTGATTCGTACAGTTTTCCCCAGTAGCTGACTCCCATCTTTTACCAATGGCTACCTGAAGAGTGAGATACCTTAAATACAGCAGAGAGCCCTGACAAGGCAGGCTATGCTTTTGTGGACTCAATTCTTTGCCCTTCTGGCTTTGGGGCTGTGTGTGATAGAATATAACCTTGAGCACCACTTAACAGTCAGTCCAGGTGAAGCCCCAGAAAAGGCCTTGTGATAGCTGTGTGCAGCAATTGCCACAAACCTTAAATGATGGTAGAACTGAGCTTGTGGAAGTTAGCTCTGTGGGGGAGAACTGCAGTCTCCTGAGATGTAATGGAGAACAGAGACCGACTGCAGCTCAGCTCCGACTTCAGGGTGGCTGTGGGTCCTCCTTGCAGACAAACTGTCCTGTAGGAATGTGATGGGAGCTGTGAATTTCCCAGGGAAATCACCCCTCTGTCTGTTGTCTTCATTTTTCATATAGAAGGATATTTGACAGCCTTTGGGGTATAGTTCAGTGCACAAAATTTGATCCCCCATTGGAAAGGGAAGGGAGGAAAAGGGGAGAAGCAGGGAAGGTTTGGGTATGTGAGGGCATTGCGCACTTTCTTCATCTTCTGACATACAGTGAATAATATCCAGGACAGGGACTGCCTAACTCTCCATTCTGCTATGTTAGGGATTTTGATAGGAATTATGTCATTATACACCTTTTATTTTTCTAAAGATTTTGGTAAATTTTTGAGTGATCTACATTGAAAGTCATGAATCTTCCAGGCCATGATAGCAGCACCAGTTTTTAGGATAGTGCTATGGGAGCTGGTCAGAGAATGGTTTGAGAGGGGTTTCTGTGGTGTGCTTCAGAGGTCCTCAGAAACCTGCACATAAGTAAATTTATTTGCTTTCTGCCGAGCCTCAGTGTGCTGGTTGGTATGAAGTCACTCAGAATATGATCAGGGAGCCTAGACCACAAGGTGAAGGGACTGGGATTTGAAAGCAGTGTTTACAATTTTGTTTCCTTTACCGGTTAACTCCTGAGAATCTTTTAGAGGGACATGGTAATATTTATTCTGTAGGTATACAAATGCCCTTTTACAGCTCAGACTCTAGAGGAGAAAACAGTGCACTGATAGGGTGTGACCCACAGTTTTGTACCAGGAAGGCTGAGACATGATGATGAGTTTGAGGCCCGAATTAGATATGCTAGTGAGTTAAGGGCTAGCTTGGACTATGTCTCAAAAACAAATGGAGAAGTACATAGTTAACTAAATAGCCTAATTAACTTTTTTTCTGTCTTGACAACAAAAAGTCAGAAGGGGTCACTACACACGGTACGGTGGTGTTAGCTGTATGACTCTGGAAGCAGAAGAAAGAAAATGTGCTTTTTCCATTGCTCAAAAGTGATAATGTCCTCCCTTTACTGAAAAGTGTGCTTTTATACAACACCCTGGAGCTGGCAGGGAAGCAAGAGCAGGCTGCTGCTGCTGAAGGTGAGGATTCTCCTGTAGCTAGAGGACTCCAAAGGCGCTTGCACAGTGAAGCACGATGGATTTGACAGCCTTTTTTAAAGCCATGTTAACCCCTCTTCCTTGTCAACTAGGAGGAGAAAGGTTTATTACTTGCTGATTTTTTTTTAATGAGAATTTCATGCATGAGCACTGTATGCCCCTTCTCCTCCAGCTACCGCATCTCCCACTCTGTCAAGTTCATAACCTTATTTTTAATTGTTATTATTGTTGCACATATATTAGATACACACACAACGTGCTCAGTATATTTACTGTTTTATTTATTTATTGTAAAGCAAAGTCATTGTCTTTTCTTTTTGTTTTTTGTTTTGTTCTGTTTTTTCAAGACAAGGTTTTCCTGTGTAACCTTGGCTTTCCTGAAACTTACTCTGCAGACCAGGCTGGCCTCAAGCTCAGAGATCTGCCTCCCTCTGCCTCCTGAATTCTGGAATAAAGGTGTGTACTTCCACCATCCAGCAACTTTGTTCTTTTTAAGACATTGTCCACATAGATAGCTCAGACTGGCCTTGAACTCCTTGCTCAGCCTGAAATCCACTGTGATCACAGGCATGCCACCAAACCACTGCAGTGGTTACTTTAGCTGGGTCACAACACCTGACAGGCAGCTTACAGAGGAAAGGGCTTACTGTGGTTAGCAGCGTGAGGAAAGAGTGCTGGGGAAGGCAGCGCAGCAGGTAGCAGCCGCAAGCATGAATGCTGGTGCTCTGCTCTTCTTTCCTCTTTGGTCTGGCTCATCCAGCAGGATTTTTAAATGACTGTTGAGTGTCAGGTTTTGACTTGGAGAACCCTGACAAAACTGTTTATAAAGCAGCGTGAACTAAGTGGCCAGGCAACACACTTGTACTCCACCGTGTCCTGCAGACCAGCATTTGACTCAGCAGTCATTGACACTGGCTTTTATCTGTAGTCAAAACTGATAAAGGTGAAGTGACTTGGGTTTGTTAGGCCTCTCTAGAACAGCCTCCAGGTGGCAGCAGTGCTTCCGTTTCCCTTCTGCTTCTGCTCACTTTTCTGGTTCTGACAGTCCCCTGTGGTGTTGATGGGGAGCCATAGCCTGTCTGTCACTTTGTCTTGGTGTAAAGGACAGGTGTATCAATCATATCAGTGGTCTACCAGACACAACTGAATTTGGAGTTGTGGGAAATGTTGACAGTTGTAAAGGAGTAAGTTCATTTCCCCCACTGTTGAATCTTCTTTACATGTTAGCAGCCTTTTGAAATGTTTACAGCCTAAGGGGAAAACAACAAGGTTTTGTATGGTTTTATCATAATCTAGAGAGATGGAAAAAAGGACACATATAGGCTTACATATGAGCCTGTCTGGTGGTCAGCCTAATATTGGGTTCCAAGTAGTTTCTTATATTTATTAAAGTGGTGTGTGTCTTTAGCGCTTCTTCTTTTGACATTACAGTAAAGAGTTACTTGAAGTTTCCCCCCACTTTATTTCCATGAGAACTAAACCAGTAATGTCCGTACAGGCCCAGGAGTGTGGCTTAGTGACACACACACACACACATCTGCTTAAGCATTCCATAACCTGAGTTCAAGTCCTAAAGCAGAAGAAGACAGGGAAACACATAAACACAGAGATCATTATTTTATTTTATTTGTTGTTGTTTTTGAAGGCAGGGTTTCTCTGTGTAATAGCCCTGGCTATCCTGGGCTTGCTTTGTAGACCAGGATGTCCTCAAACTCATAAAGATCTGCCTGCCTCTCAAACTCATAAAGATCTGCCTGCCTCTGCCTCCTGAGTGCTGGGATTAAAGGCATGTACTGCCATGCCCAGCCAGATATCATTTTAGAATTATACAATTCTGTCATATTACTTCTTAAAAGTTGGTTAGGAATTGCATATATTCTGAAAAACATACTTCCCAAATGCTTTGGTTCTTTTAAGATTTCAAAAGCATATCTGTGAGATAGGACAGGTGAGTTTACATTCACTTTCTAACTTTGCCACAATTCACATAGAGGGTGACATCATTGGTATCAGATTTTTTTCCTGGGTGAGATCTGACAGAATTGTCAAGTGAATGATAACAGTAGGTGTATTAGAAAATGGACCTATTTAAGCTGTCCTCATGAGAGTAAGTATAAGATGAAGAATCACCACTTCCATTTTGTTCTTTTGTTAGAACAGAAGAGAGAAGAGTGAGGAACTCCTGACCTGATTTTCAAGAGGGAACATACTGGGACTAGGGGACTGTAAAGTTGGGTTAGTAGTTAAGAGCACTTGCTGGGTTCAGAGGACCTGGGTTCAATTCCCAGCACCCACATGGTGGTCACAACCATCTTTAATTCCAGTTGAAGAGGATCCAGTACTCTCTTACAGTCTTTGAGGGTACTGCACAGACATGCACACAGACGGAACACCTATACACATAAAAGAAGTCTTTAGAGAGAGCACAATTATTTATAGTGTGTGGGGGGGGTTGATTTAAGAACTGGAAATTGACTGTTTATTGGCTACTATGTTGTCCTTGTATAGTAATCGTCATACTATGTTTAAATGCACCACGGATGTCTCTAAACATCTTCTGTGACTGACTACACCCTGCTCTTAGCCAAAATAACAGGCTAACTAGAGTTTGACTGTTCAGTGTCCTTCTTTGGCAGATGTTTTCTGGCAGAGGCCTTCCTGCACTGATGAAGTCCCTTAAGAAGCGAGAGCACCTGCAGGAAGTGAATCAGCGCCAGAATGGAGCACAGTCACCTGCTTTAAAAATAAAGTACTGTTGAAAAAGATCACTTCTCTCTATTTGTTCCTAGCTGTAAAATGTTAATAGTTAATGCAGAATTCTGTAATCATCGAATCATTAGTGGTTAACGTTTGAAAAAGCTCTTGCAATCAAGTCTGTGATGTATTATTAATAATGCCTTATATATTGTTTGTAGTCATTTTAAATAGCATGAGCCATGTCCCTGTAGTCAGTAGGGGGCAATCTTGCTTTATTCATCCTCCATCTCAAAGCAGATTTGAAATTACAGATTAGTCTAAGCTATGTATAAGGCTGGCTGTTTGAAAAGGGGTTTTCTCAAAAGTCAAAACTTTGGTTATGACTATATTTCTGCACATAATCCATATTTCCTGTTCAGATTAATCTAGAAATATGTTTAATTGTACTGTGTGAACACCAGGAAACAAAACCATAGTGCAAAGCTCATCGTAGTGTTAACAATGTTCTCAATTGGTAAATAAGTATTAATTTTACATAGTCTATATTCAGAAATTACCTTTTCATTCTGTAATTCTGTGTACAAAGGAATTCTTAAGGTGTTTGTCATCATATAAAATGGAAAGGGCAAAGACAGATTCAGATTAAATACTAAATGTTATTCTGTAAACTGAGTGGCTAGAATCCCAGAGGGTCAGGAGCAAAGAATTAATTTGGAACTTTTGAGAAGATCCCTAACATTGTGTACTCCTTGCTTTTACAACTGTTATAACTGTAGAATGATGTGCTTGCTGCCCAAGTGCTAGCTCACTTTGGTTGCTATATTAAACTGTAAATACAATGGAACATTAATAAATGTCTCTGTAGCACCTTTTACTGTAGATCAGTGTTTAATTTTGGACTTTACATTTGTTGTGAAAACATTTTCTAATCTTACACAATAATCCAGAATATATTCTAAAAATCAAAACCTTATGTCTATTGCTGCAATAAAATACTGTAACCAAGCCAGGTGTGGTGGTGGTTATGCCTTTAATCCTAGCACTTGGAAGGCAGAGGCAGGTGAATCTTTAAGTTCAAGGCCAGCTTGGTCAGAGCTAGTTCCAGGACATCCAGGCCTACACAGAGAAACCCTGTCTTAAATAAACAAAACAAAAACAAATCACTGTATTTCGGTTTAGAGTTCCACAACACAGTCCACTGCAGACAGAAGTCAGGGCAGGAACTCAAGGGAGGAACCTGCTGGCAGGAACTGGAGCAGAGGCCTCGGAGGAGTGCTTCTCAGTGTGACTTGCTATCTTATAGCTGCCAGGAGCACCTCCCCAGGTATGGTACCACCTACAGTGAGCTAGGCCCTCCTTCATCTATAATCAATCAGGAAAATGCACTACAGGTTGCTCACAAGACAGTCTCCAGGGGCTGTCTTTTCAATTGAGGTTTCTTCTTCCCAGCTCTAGCCTGTGTCAAATTAATGTAAAACTAGCCAACACACTATGGTTGCAATTTATTTTGTATATTCACAAATAGGAGCGGAAGTTTCCTCTTTCATATCCCACTCAGTACCAATTGCCTCTGCAAATGACAATGGACCAGAATAGGATGAGCATGAGCTACTATGAAACATCCAGTAACCACAACAATAGAAAGCCTGTTTGGACCATTTGCCTCTTCCTTCCATTCAACACAGCCCAAGATTTAAGTCCTACTTGAGACAAAAGGGTCCTTATTTCTGTTTAGGTCTTTATTCCTGTTTGCTTGTGTTAAATTTAGACCAGTGGTGGTTATATCAGCCATTTGATTTTTTTTCCCCCCATATTCTACTTAGACAAAATATAAAGAAAAAAAGCCACAAGGTTGTCAAACTATCTTTTAAAACAGCACCAGCATGTGATAGTTAACAAATTTACAAGTGCCCATTTGTCTACTGTCTGTGAACAACACAGGAAGTCTTTTAAGGTGTCAGTATACAACACACAGAAACATAAGTTGTTTAAAAGCCAGACAGAAACATCCTGGAATCATGTTGTTTTGTATGTGTATGTGTTGTGTTATTTTACTTAGTTACTTTGTTTTGTTTTTTGAGACCATTTCAGTTTTACTATATAGCTTGGGCTGGCCTGAAACTTGCTGTGTAAACCAAACAAGCCTTGAACTTGTATCAGTCCTCAAGCCTCTGCCTCCTGAGTGCTGGGATGACAGGTGAGTATCACTGCACTCTGCCTAGATTGACAGTAATTGCAATTGGGTTATTGATTATTATAGTAAAGTGTATTCTTGTTTTGTTTGGTGGGTGGGGGCTTTTTTTTTTCTAGAACCCAGGCTGCCTTTGAAGTCACAGTCCTCCTGCCCTATCCTCATAGAAATGTCCATCACCATGCCTAGCTGTGTATTTTTTTTTTAAGATTTCTCTATTATGGATACAATGTTCTATCTGCGTGTACACCTGCACACCAGAAGAGGGCACCAGATCTCATTATAGTTGGTTGTGAAGCACTTTGTGTTTGTTGGGAACTGAACTCAGGACCTCTGGAAGAACAGCCAGTGCTCTTAACCTCTGAGCCATCTCTCCAGGCCCCTAGCTGTGTATTCTTAATTAAAGGTTATAATCTCTGAAGTCCCCCTCCACTAGATTATACCAGTAATAGACTTGAGAAATTTTTGTGACCTTTTATGTTCTAAATTTCTGAATGAAAACAATCCAAATAAATATAGAAAGTCTAGTAGAGATCATTTAAATCATCTTGCAGAACAGAGTGAGATAGGATAAAGGGTAGAGATTTGGAATAAGTAATTTTGGAATAAGATGGAAAGGAAGTAACTGCTTACTGAAGGTTTGGAAATAAACTGGCTTGGATTGATGCCAGGGCTTTATTTTGGACCACAGGGCTCATTGCCATTTGAAGTAGGCATGCTTGTGTTTAAAGAATTCTGTATTATTTTTCTAGGAAGCTCTAGGTTATTTAGTGTGGCAATAAAAGACATTGATAAAACTTACTATTAAGTAGTAAACTCTAGAGCTACATAGTGAGACCTTGTCTTGAGGGAAGAAACAAAAACAAAAAACCAAAATAGTAAACACAGGGCTGGCAAGATGAAGCTTAATCATTTTTTCCCTCTGTTGGTGTCTGATCCATTTTTAGCTAGTTGGAAGATGTTTACCTTTCGGTACAGATGATTTGGGAAATAATGAAGGTATAAGAAGACGCAAAATGTAAAGCAAGTTTACATAGATGTTTAGTATGTTTTTAATTTTGTTTTGCCTGATTTTGAAGCCTATATAGTCTGTGCATCCACTGAAGTTAGTAAGGTGGGTTGACAGGATCATTTACAAAAGCACTAAATCCAGTTTTAGTGTACACCTGTGTGCTGTTGCATAGTAGTTCTCACTTAACACCCACAACAAGTACTTGGCAACAGGCAGGCCCTGAATGTTTATAAGCCTGGGGGAGAAAAACACCAGGAATTCCTGAAGGGAAAAGGAACTTTAAGTTGAGAGGAAAAGAAGAAAAGATGGTTATGAACCTGGTCTCTCTCTCTCTCTCTCTCTCTGTGTGTGTGTGTGTGTGTGTGTGTGTGTGTGTGTTGGTTTTTCGAGAAGGGGTTTCTCTGTGTAGCCGTCCCTGGCTGTCCTGGGACTCACTCTGTTAACCAGGATAGTCTCAGACTCAGAGATCTGCTTGTCTCTGCCTCCCAAGTGCTGGGATTAAAGGCATGTGCTGCCATGCCTGGATGAGCCTGATATTTTATCACCCTCTTTCTTTGTGGAAGATTGATTATTAATTTATATATGTGTGCATCTGTGTGTCCCTATGAATGTGTGTGCTAGGAAGGGCAGGTACCCATGGAGATCAAAAGAAGGCATTGAATCCCTTGGAGCTGGAGGTACCAGCAATTTTGAGCTGCTCATTGTGGGTGCTGGGATTTGAACTCAGGTCCTCTTGATTGAGCAGCAAGTACTTCTAACTGCTAAGCTACCTCTCCAGCCAATACTTGTTTGGTTGCTTCTTCCCCTGCTTGGCTAGAGTTTACTATGTACCCTCAAACTCAACAGCAGTCTTTTGCCTTACTTAGATTACAGGCATTTGCCAGCACACCCAACCTCATCTCCAGTCAGTCCAGCAGGAGGCTGTTCTACAGCACACTCTGTATCACCAATAACTTCATGGCAATGAAAGCGCCGCTTTTCTCTGTTGATAAGATTTTAAGCACTGTCTTTGTTTTTGTTTAGTTTTTGTTTGTTTTTTGTTTTGGGGTTTTTTGTTTTTGTTTTTGTTTTTGTTTTCATATTTTGAAGCAGTTTGGTTTCGTATTTTAAAGCAGAGTCTCACCTTTTTTAGTCCAGGCTGGCCTTGAACTCATAGATTGGCCTATCTCTGAGTGAAACCATGTACCACCACACTCAGCCCTACTACAAATTATTTTAATCCCCAATGTATTCCTTGTCGCAATTTGCCACTTGGAGAGTAAGGGTATTACACAGAGGTTCCAGTTTAATTTGATCCTGAACCTTACTTAGAAGGCTGTTTTGTTTTCATTTCTTCTTTTTTGAAAAGGCATTGTCTTCTGACTTTGAGTTTAAATGTATCAGTTGGCAGAGTAGTGGGGATGGGAGTGTAGAGTGTCAGCCCAGCTATCACAGGGACCTGGGCATATATCCAGTACAGCCCCACTAACCTCCCCAACCAGCAGCAAAGAAGACATTAGGCTAAAGAGGTGGCTCAGTGGGTTTAGCACTCACTGTGCAAGTGCAAGCTTGAGGGCCTGAGTTCAGATCCTCGGGATTCATGAAGTCAGATGCAGTAATGAATATGTGTAACCCCAGTGCTTCTATAGGGAGATGGGTGGACACAGGGGCTCCCCTCCACGCTCCATAGTCCAGTTAGCCTGTCATGCCAGTGGGAAAGCAAGAGACCCTGACTCAAAAGAAGGCAAAAACCAACACCTGACGTGGTCCTCTGACCTTTATATATCATAGGTTCTATAGCATACATACACAAAGGGGGAAAAAGTAGGAATAAACTATTTAAAAACAAAATAAGGGAAATGGAAAGATGGCTCAGTTGTCAAGAGTACATGTTATAACTTGGAGGTGATGGTCCAGCCTTTAATCCAGCACTCTGGAGGCAGAGGCAGGTGGATCTCTTGAGTTGGAGGCCAGCCTGGTCTACAGAGTAAGCTCCAGGACAGCCAAGACTACACAGAGAAACCCTGTCTTGAAAAACAAAAGGAGTCTGTTGTTCTTTCAGAGGACCTGGGTTTGATTACCGGTAACCACATGGCAACTCACAGCTGACTGTAAGTCTAGTTCCAGGGCATCTGATGTCCTCTTCTAACCTCCATGGAGTTCTGAACACATGATATGTGTAATCTGCAGGCACACACGCATACATACTAAATACATACATACATGCATGTTTTTATTTAAAATATAAAACACGGGCTGGAGAGACAGCTCGGAGGTTAAGACCACTTGTTTGTACAACCATGAGTTCTGGACTTCAGCCTCTACAAAATGAGTCCAGAGTCTAGCACATACCTGTAACCCTAGCTTGAAGGAAGTATTGTTGGGCTTGCTGGCTTTCAGACTAGGTAAGAAAAAAAAAAAAAAAAAAAAGAGCTCCAGAAGAGGACACCTGACAGCGTCTTCTGGCATCCACATTTGTACACACACACACACACACACACACACACACAAGACACTAGTAAACCTACAATGTAAATCTTCTAAGATTTGTTCTTATTTATTGGATTTTGAGATGGCCTCACCATTTACTGGCCTGAAAGTGGCCTTGAACTCAGAGGTCCACCTGCCTCTGCCTCCCGAGTGCTGGGATTAAAGGTGTGCGCCACCACTGCAGCTACTTTTTATTATTTTTTAACT